TCAAGGAGACACGCATGAGGTACTGTGGACCTGCACGAGAATTCCTTCAAGGAGACACGCATGAGGTACTGTGGACCTGCATCAGAATCCCCAAAAGGAGAAGAATTGTGTACTGGGAACCCATCCTGCATCTGGATTTCCATACGAATGTTGTACTTTTTCTATACGTTTTCAGTCATCGAGCAATTTTATTAAGGGGAACTTTTTTAAAACTGTTTTAAACAATTTAGTTCAGGTACAAAATGTCTCGGTATATATGTATATGTATATCTCGGTATATATGTATATGTATATCTCGGTGTATATGTATATCTCGGTATATATGTATATGTATATCTCGGTATATATGTATATCTCGGTATATATATATATATATATATATATATATATATATATATACATACATACATACATACATACATACATACATACATACATACTTTCGCTGTCTCATGACAGCTCTTCAGTTACACATCATCTTCTTTATATCAGTTTCATACATAGTTACACTGAAGAGCTGTCATGAGACAGCGAAAGTACTATGTATGAAACTGATATAAAGAAGATGATGACTAACGTGGACTTTATTATTTTATTTTATATATATATATATATATATATATATACCGAGATATGCATATACATATACACCGAGATATACATATACATACATGTCGGCATCTCTCTCTCTCTATCTCTCTCTATCTCTCTCTCTACTCTCTCTATCTCTATATCTCTCTCTATCTTTCTCTATCTCTCTCTCTCTATCTCTCTATCTCTCTCTATCTCTCTATATATCTTTCTCTATCTCTCTATCTCTATCTCTCTATCTCTCTCTACATCTATATCTCTCTCTCTATCTTTCTATCTCTCTCATTATCTCTCTCTATCTCTCTCTATCTCTCTCTCTCTATCTCCCTCTCTCTCTCTCTATATATATATATTCTCTCTCTCTCTAAAATATATATATCTCTATCTCTCTCTATCTATCTCTCTCTCTCTCTCTATATATATATATATCTATCTCTCTCTCTCTCTATCTATATCTCTATCTATAGCTCTATCTTTATCTCTATCTATATCTCTATCTCTATCTTTATCTCTATATCTATATCTCTATATCTATATCTATCTATCTATTTATCTATATCTATCTATCTATCTATCTATCTATATCTATCTATCTATCTATCTATCTATCTATATCTGTCTATCTATCTCTATCTATCTATCTATATCTATCTATATCTCTATATATCTCTATATATATCTCTATATCTCTCTCTCTCTCTCAGAGCCGACTCATTTTCATTGGTACTAATTTTCAGGCAAACCATTGTTATGAGCATGTGTCTCTGAGTGTAGGAACGTACTATTTATTGACACTGGTACACATACTAATATGGGGAAATTGCCGTGCGAATTGTATACCAATATAGTACTACGACCGCCATATATATACAACTCCGGCCTTCATTAAGCTACAGAACTAAAGATTACGAATTTCTATATCTTTCACAACATCCAAGTGTCAGTGGTTTATCGGTTGTATCCGTTGAAGATGGTGGTTTTTAAGAATTGCATTCAAGTAGGCTGTTATCTTTCCAAACTGACCCTTATTGTACAGTCGGACTGACCATGTGTGCCGACCCTGTGATGGACGTAAACACTAATCACTGGTTATCTGATTTACCTTTGTGTCAGCCTGGCCAGGTAGACGTGCGTAATGGTCCACTGGCTCTCAGCTGGAGTGACTGGTCAATCGCTTATGTGAAACATAAAATATCTTGTATGCGCCGGCCAGTTAATGCATTGAATTTACTTTAAGAATATGCATATTAATTTACGGTTATAAGATATGTTTCTTAACAGGAAATTTGGTGTTGTAGGAAAACTATGACACTGCATTAAATATCATTTATACACGTTCGTCTTCAATTAGGTGAAATCAAACAATTTATGCACTTTTGTGTTTTCATATTCCGTCGGTCTATAAGCTGTTTTCTGTTTCGTTGATGATGAGTCTTCTCACTGTGCACACAGCAGTTTTACGGCGTTCAATTTTACTCAAAGCGCCTGTAAACACGTTTCTGTCAAGAACACAAACAGTGCTCGGGAGAATTTGTTTCGTTTCTATCGTCAGAGTATGATTACTTTTCAGGAAAGCTGAGTGTAACATTTCAAACATTTTAAAAATACACAATAACTGTATGAGTGTAATGTGGGAATTTACCGCTTTCATGTTTTTTTAATTTGGTGTAGGCGTGAGTTTCGATTAAAGTATTGTCGGAAATGCTAGAAAACTGCTCTTTACCTGTTAAAAAAGGATATAATTTTGTTGTTATTGAAATATCGAGTAACTACCGATCGCCCTACCTGTGGTTCGAAGTATTTCTATCACAAGGAGTCCTATCGACAAGTTTACAGGAGACAAAACTCGAACGAAAACAGGAAGTTGACATTTATTCCAAGTCCAATAATGACAGTCTGAAACGGACTATAGAAATATACGCACGTGACTCCGTTATATTGACAATAATGTAGTTTTTATAAAACAGTTAACCCACACACAAAAATCATTTTGAGAAAATTCTAGATGTGCATCTTCTTAAATGACAAAATTACCCTGCGTTAACGCGACGTTAAATCTCTCACGACAAGCATAGTCACCTTTTACGGCAAGCATGGGTTGCTGAAGACCTATTCTACCCCGGATCTTCACGGGTGGGTAGTAGAGGTAGATGATGTAGTAGTAGTGGTGATACTGGTAGTTGTAGTAGTAATAGTAGTAGTGGTGGTGGTCGCCGTCGTTGTGGCGGTGGTGTAGTCGCAGTGTAGTAGTAGTAGCGACGGTCGTAGTACATCATTCTATCAGCAGCTGGTTTGACTGTTCAGATTACTGACAGTCCACAATGAAAGTGGGAGACTTGCGTCAAAATTTCCTAAACACAGAAACGTATGAATTAAACAGGATAACAGTGTCTGTGCCACATGTTGGATTACATAACGCTAAACGACCCATTTACGCTATTCTCTTTACACAACACAAATGTACATGTGAAACCCATGTCTGTGACATTTGATTATGAACAGTTCGTGTTAACATTCATGCGGTATATGTCTCAGTATATCCCATAAGATCAGGCTCTATACTCACAGGACCCGGGAAGACCCGGGGTAGAATAGTGTTCAGCAACCCATGTTCGCCCTAAAAGGCGACTATGCTTGTCGTAAAAGGCGACTTACGGGATCAGGTGGTCAGGCTCGCTGACTTGGTTGATGCATGTCATCGATCGCAGTGCTCATGATATCAATCAATGGATTGTCTGGCCCAGACTCGATTATTTACAGACCGCCGTCATATAACTGGAATATTGCTGAGTGCGGCGTTAAACAACCAACCAACCAACCAACCAACCAACTATACTCACAAAACGATATTTAAAAAAGTTATTGTATTAAAAAAATCAAATAAAGAGGAAGTGAGGTGAGTCAGTCAGTATGGTTTTGTGCCGCTTTTAGCAGTATTCCAGCAATATCACGGCGGGGGACACCAGAAATGGGCTTCACACATTGTACCTATGTCGGGAAGAGAAACCCGGGTCTTCGGCGTGACGAGCGAACGCTTTAACCACTAGGCTACCCGACCGCCCCGGAAGTGAGGTGAAATGAGGTCGTACTCATATAGCGCCGTGCCTATTAGTTAGTCCGGACTTATTCCGAATTCATAGTGCTAGCCTACTGAGCTACCATGCCTCAGTTTAACATGAATACCCCACTCAGACACAGTGTACTGACTCCGAGACAGCCAGTCCTTGTTTTAGCCCCTTAATGCCGAGCGTCAGACAGGGTAACAACAAGTACCATCTTGTAACGCCTTTTGGTATGACCCGCCTGGGATCGAACCCACGACCTTCCGCCCTCCGGACAGACGCCCTACCACTAGACCACGGAGGCGGTCCACCAATGTGAGGAATGGAACCGGTCTTCGGCTGGCCGAGCGAATGCTTTATCCCATAGGTTACCCACCCTCCCCCTGCAAGTTAAAGTGCTTACTTGTAGGGATCCCTGTCAAATCAAATAAAGAAGTTTGTATCAATCAGGTTATTTCTGAAAATGTGCTCTAATGAAATCCGTAACACGTGATAATAAAGTTTACTAATATGACATGCACGCCAATAAGGAAAAGCATGAAAAGTACAACTATTCTTACAATACTGACTGAATATTGCAGCGATAGTGTGTGGACAATGGACGCTGAAACATGGATAATGATCAAAAATGATCAACTTATAATAATTTCATTGGTAAAACATTGTGTGTCCCATGGCTTTACACGATGTTGATTTCCATTGTCTGGCTGATGTCACATGAAAGGTGCAAGGCTTGTCACTCGAGTAGAGCACGGTCGACATGTCCACCCAGAGCATCGTTGCATAACATTGTCAGATAGGCCGGGAGGTTGGTGACGTCTCCCCATTGTTTCAAGGGCTGGTGACTTGGCTGTATGTTTGAGCTTCACGAGAATAAATCAACGTACACGCTTTCAGTTGCTTGTCACTGAACACCCCAAAAGTCCCTGGGCACGTGCTTGCTGGTTTGACTGTGGCTAAGGGAGCAACCATCTTATTGTCGGGGGGGGGGGGGGGGGGGGGGGTATATTTTCTATAATGAGACTCAATCCCCTGTTTTACTTAAATAAGTTATGTGCCGTTTTCTTACAGAAAGTGGGTATTGTATTATCGAGGAGTCAAATGTCTGTGTAAAGTCAACTAATCTCAAACCTTAATCAAGCTCCTCCACCACCCGACCCACCACCCATCACCCATCCCCCACCCCCTTGAAATCAAATGGATGCTCCTTCGGGTTGGAGTATAAAACATGGACACTTCCACAGGCGCATCGCGCATCTCGTTTAACGATCTCTGCACACCTCCATACTTCTAGCGATTACTTCTACTTCTACTAGCGATTTTTCCAGCATCATGTATTCATTTCTCATGTCTCTTGGTTTGGCCCCGCAGGTCTCTCAGACCGGACCCCAGGGACCTCAGGCTACCCATGCCACCTCCCAGGGACCGCAGGCGACCCAGGGCACCTCCCAGGCACCGCAAGCGACCCAGGCCATCTCCCAGGCACCGCAAGCGACCCAGGGCACCTCCCAGGCACCGCAAGCGACCCAGGCCATCTCCCAGGCACCGCAAGCGACCCAGGGCACCACCCAGGCACCGCAAGCGACCCAGGGCACCTCCCAGGCACCGCAAGCGACCCAGGGCACCTCCCAGGCACCCCATCAACAGACGCCGTCAACATCAAGGATGTCGTCGACCTCCTCGACGCCTTTCGCCACCCCGATGACGACCACACCGGCACCAACGAGGCGGTCAGCAGTGCCACGTCATCGGGGGGCGGCACCAATGAATGTGAGTAAACGCAATAGTTTTGGTTTGATATGTCTGCTTCAACCAATTCAACCCGTTCTACTAGTTCTATACACGCCTACTTGTTCTATACATGCCTACTTGTTCTATACATGCCTACCAGTTCTGTACATGCCTACCAGTTCTGTACATGCCTACTAGTTGTATACACGCCGACAAGTTCTTTCTACATGACAACTCCGTCTTACTCCTATGATTTGTATGCTAGTTTTAAATATTAGCCTGTGATATTCTAGTTATTTTAATGAACATCGATGACAGGTTTTATTTAGTCTAAATAAATGTATTTAAGATGTACAACTTTTCATCACAATATGGCTGAAATATTGCCGATGTGACGTAAAACATTCACTCACTCACTCCTATGTTCCGTGTGTATGTAACAGTCGTGTTTCTTTCAAAATTGTGCGGGCGAGAAGGGTTTTCGGCCGATTTCCGCACGGCGGGCAAAATATATCAACGTGTGGAATCGGACATCAGTCGGCGTATCAGGCGAACACCCTGACGCCTATCAGAGATACGCCTTGAATATATAGGTGAAGCATTATAACTGCAATAGCTGACATCTTCGTTTGTTGTGTGGCAGCTTGTCGAGACCGAGCTCCGCCAGCTCCGCGAGGAGAACCGGCGACTAAAGGAGGAGAACCGGCGACTAAGTGGGGAGAACCGGCAGGCAATGGAGGAGGTTCGGCTGGCAACGGTGGAGGTTCGGCAGGCAAAGGAGGAGATTAGGCAGGTGAAGGAGGAGAACAGGCGACTGAAGGTAATTGTAAGTGAGATACAAGAACGAATTCAGGTTTAACACCAATGTGAACATCATAATAGTCTTGTGGTGGGTGACACCTTGATGTTGACTCAGGCCGTACCTGCAGTGTTGGAGCTACGTCTTCTGTCTGCACAATGACGTTATTGAGTCTCTGAGATAACTCTTCGACTATTTATATAACTACTAGATAAATTGTAATCAAACTTCATAATTATGAAAACGAGATGTGCTCATCAATTCGTATTTCAGTCTACATGTACTTAGGCAATGAGCTAGGGCAAAATGAAGGGTTTCACGTTCAGTTCATAACTCACATTGGTGACTAAGCGTTGTTTCATTGTTTTTTGCTAGTTACTGTCATATATTAAATATAAATCTTCCTGAAGAAACAAGGCATGTGTTAGGGTCGGTGACAGGCATGGAAAACATTTGTTTGGGCCACCTGGACAAGATACACAATATACATAACGAGCACGTGCACTGTCTGTATACATGCATGTACACACCTACTCTTACCTTCCTTCTTAGGCTTTCTCGTCGGCGGCAACGGCGACAGCTTCTACCTCGGCAGCTTCTACCTCGGCAGCTTCTACCTCGACAGCTTCTACCTCGGCAGCTTCTACCTCGGCAGCTTCTACCTCGGCAGCTTCTACATCGACAGCTTCTACATCGACAGCTTCCACTTCAGCTGCACCAGTGACGGCAGTGACTTTGGGGACTTTGGCGACACAGACGGTTCCAACTGTGAGTATACTATGTAGTTAATTCTCATTGACAGTATTAGATTGGTCTTGCCATGTAGCCTAAGATGCCTGAATTAATCGTCCTTGACAGTGTTAAAGGACCTCAATTTGGGGCTTAGCTTCACCATCGCGTTTTCTTCCTCCCCTGAGCATTTAAGTTAAACCTCGTATTCAACACTCCTGTGCATAGCAACACAATGTTCCACTAAAACATCTGGTGATTCCGGGATAGAATGGCCCACAGCAACATATACTGCTCGTTAGGGGCGACTTAGTGGATCGGGGGATCAGGTTGGGTGACTTGATTTCCTGCATCGTACCTCGACGCCGTGGATCGATGCTCACAATTTCGATCACATCGTCATGATTTTTTGTACATTGATCTGTTTGTTGTTTAACGCCACACTCAGCAATATTCCAGCCACACGAGACCCTAGCATGGTGATCTACCTTCAGTTGTTGACCTTTTTTTATATTGTATGGTTACATATTGATATCTTTTTATGGTTGTATGCTAGTTTTATATATTAATCTGATATTCTATTGATAGTACTGTCAATCGATGCCAGGTTTTCGGATGTGACGTTAAATATTAACTCACTCACTGCAACCTCATGACGGCGGTCTGTAAATACTCGAGAGGCGACTAACAGGATCAGGTTGTCAATCCCACTGACTTGGTTGATGCCTGTCCTCGTATCCCAATTGAGTTGATCGATGCTCATGATGTCAATCACCAGACTGTCAAGACTGTTTACAGCTGCGGCATATAGTACAGACAGTTTATTCAGTAATTTATACAAATATCCATAACTGCAACAAACAGTTCTTTCGTCTTTAGAATAGTATCTTATATATCATAATTGGGTATTTTTTTCTCTCAGAATCAGGCTGCCAACAATAGGAGAGACCAGAGACAGAGACAGAGGACTGTAAACATGATACGGCAGCAGCAACAGCAACAGCAGCAACAGCGACAACAACAAAGAAGGATGGATCAACAGACGCTGGCTCGCGACCAGCAACGTCAGCAACAGCAGCAGCAGCAACAACAACCCTACCAGGCTCTGCTGCGTGTCCTAGATGAGGCACAAAGGACTTCGGTGAGATTTCGTTTCATCTCTTGTCTATTGACTTCCATACCCAACGATTGTAGAAGTACTGGTTTGACCAGCACCGACTTGCATTTTGACGTACCTCCTTAATGCAACTGCAACAAACACTCCTAATGCTCTGTCATCAGTTCATGAAACAATCCGACACAGGACAATAGAGTGTTAGGGTGTGTTTCATTGTCACATTCGGTGGCCCAGTCATCTAAGGCGCCGCAATTCGCTGTGCAGAGTTCCTTAATCAAAGCGGCGGTAAAATCATTAAATGTTGTGGGTCGATCTGACCATACTACCGATATATAGACACTTCTATTCAGTAGATTGTCTTTGTTCCAAAATACCTGCAAAAAGCGTGAAGATGCATCAGATTTACAATTTGTATTTCTTGTCTGTACATACAGCAATATACGGGCGTTTCTTGTAATAACAATGCTATTACTCTGTATTATATAAATAATAGTTTTAATTGTATGATATTAATTGATTTTACAATGAACTTGATCATCAATTCAGAGTAGGAATCCGACTCATTTAGGCTTCTATGACATATACTATCTTTCATCGTAAATGGTGGGTTCAATGTGTGAAGCCCATTTCTGGTGTCCCCCGCCGTGATATTGCTGGAATATTGCTAAAAGCGGCGTAAAACCATACTCACTCACTCATCGTAAATGGTATTTCCATAGATGCCAGTCTCAACAGCAAGCTTGAAACTGCAACATCAACATCTAGAACGATGTTCTCAAATGTTGTATTACTATACTTGAACAATACACCCAACTCCCTCACTTTCTACAATAGGAACATCATCGATACGTGATTAGTATCGTTATTGCTAATATATACTTTTAACTGTGGCTGTTCCCTTTAAACTAGAACTTGGTCTCACTTTAATCCGATAATTCACCATAACAGTGATAGACTCCGACAATAAACCCCAACTCACTGTCCACAAGACCCGTTAACATCCGGTTTAGAGTAGATCTTTAGCAACCCATACTTGCCATGAGTGAGTGAGTGAGTATGGTTTTACGCCGCTTTTAGCAATATTCCAGCAATATCACGGCGGGGGACACCAGAAATGGGCTTCACACATTGTACCCATGTCGGGAATCGAACCCGGGTCTTCGGCGTGACGAGCGAACGCTTAAACCACTAGGCTACCCGACCTCCCCACTTGCCATGAAAGGCGACTTGCTTGTCAGAGGCGACTAACGGGATCGGGTGGTCGGGTTCAGTAACATCGTGTCATCGTATCCCAATTGCGTGATTCGATGTTCATGATGTCAATCACTGGATTGTCTGTTCCGGACTCGATTATATAGAGACATCCATCATATTACTGGAATATTGCTGAGCGCGGCGTTAAATCACAAACCGACAGACACGTTCCACAATAGGGACGTGATAAATGATTTGTATCGTTTTTATATATATTCCTGGTAAGTGGGACTGTGTATCCTTTGATTGAGTAAGGGTCTAAGTATTGTTTGTTTCATTACAGAGAAGGGGACGCGTCCGCAAGCCTGCTGGTGCTCTTCAGATGACCCTGGGTGGAGGCATTACCAGTAAGTTAACCCAATGTGTCGAGATGTATCATTTACAAAGGGAGGCGGTCAACACATCGACCTATTTTACCTAGTCTCAACCGCTGGCTTATCATACACAACTAGTGTTACGTTATCCCACGTGTTGTGCCCATTCTTGTCCCAGTCTTGTCCCAGTCTCTGATATTGGTGGAATAATGATATACAGTCACAGCACTCACTCACCCACTCACATTTAGGGGGCGGTCGGGTAGCCCAGTGGTTAAAGCGTTCGCTCGTCACGCCGAAGACCCGGGTTCGATTCCCGACATGGGTACAATGTGTGAAGCCCATTTCTGGTGTCCCCCGTTGTGATATTGCTGGAATATTGCTAAAAGCGGCGTAAAACCATACTCACTCACTCACTCACATTTAGTCCCGTGAAGATCTGGATCAGACGTAACCTTCAGCAACCCATACTTGTAACAGTTATCTAACGGGATCGGGTGGCCAGGCTCGTAACTTACTTCATGCATGTCATTGTAATCAAATAGCGTGGATCGATGTTCATGTGAGTCACTGGATTGTCTGGTCTAGACTCGATTTACAGACCGCCCCCATGTAGCTAGAATATGGCGTTTACCAACAGACAAACCAAAAAACTCTTTTACAGAATTTTCCCTCAATCGTGATGCAACATTCGCCCCCTCGCTTTTCCACATGCAGTGGTGACTCTGACTCCATCAGACGCCCCAGATACCTATGATTTCGTGTTCGAATCCTGGTTTGACATGATTGTTTCTAGGTTCAACAGCACCATACCCTTCTGACCAAAGTGGTGAAGTCTGAGACCTGCATCAATTCTGTCTTTCCTCCAACACCAAACTGTTCTGTCCACTATCAAAATACATCGACATTTTTTACATGAATTAACTTAAGTACGCTTCGGCACTGAGTCAACCGCTCTTTAAATTGTGAAATTTTAAAGATTTACAGACAAGATTGATCTGTGTCGGAAATTGGTGCTGGGAGATTCTTGCAGAAGTAGATTAGTGTGTATCTTGGCCAATGAATAGGTGTTTCCACCCTGGTGTTTAAATGGTATGTTTCTCCTTACACTTCAGGCATCGTAACCAACGACCAGGCTGCCTTCATTCGCAAAAGGCAGCGATAGGTGTCCACCCTCGGTGGCCAAAAGCTGTCATTGGCGACAAGGTTAACCTGGTGTTACATCCTCAAATGCGGTAAGTTAAACTATAGTTATAAACGAATCATTTATTCTCTACGAATTAATTCTTTAGAGCAAACATTATCCCGTCAATTTGAAACAAGATAGATTTTTCGCATCACAATGGTTATGTTAGTGCCTACATTCTCGATACTCGTCCGTCCAATGAAAACAACTTCAAGAAGGACATTACAAACGTGATCTAATCGTCATGTGTGTTTATAGAAGTGAATAATTCTGAAATTAACAAAATATTGTTTCTTCTTCAGGTGTGGTGACTTGTTACCTTCTGCAACACCTGCCAATTACGCCGCTTCATGTGCAGGAATTGACACCATCTGATACACTCGATATCAATATATCTTATACATAAACTATTCAAAACATTCTATCTATCTTGACAACTGGCATGATCCAAAGATGCCAACTTAACATGCTGGAATTATCAGGATCTGTTTTGTATGTTTACAACTTGGTACAACGTCCTGCTTTTGACACGATCGTTCACTTACAAGTCCCGGATGTTGTCCATGTGTACCTCCTGATGACTCGGCAGCTCTGAGGTGTTGAGGGGTGTTTCATGTTTCATGGCTCAGTTTCTGCCTGAAACATCCGCTAACACCTTCTAGTTGAACGATGACTCGGTCGTATTCACAAACATTTTCTAGGGTAATTTGTATTTGGACAACGTCAGTCAGGGGATTGTTGTGAAAGATTTTAATACCAGCATTGAAATGAGCGTGTCAGACTTTACTGGTTGCGTCACCTCAACAAAATATTTCAGTTTGTTTTCTTGATACACTGAGTTGAAGACGTCTCTTCCTAATCATGTGCGGTGCTGTGGTAGGATGTTGGCAATATCAGTCTACAACGAAGATGGATGTTTGTTGAACAGAACTAAGTGACAAGGTAAGTTTCAAACTGTCCGTTGATGGTTAAAAAGAGTCACATCCTTTATAGACAGGCCGTTCCAAACAACTGTCTTAAGACTTTCGGAACTCCCAGACTTATACAACACGGTGATTGTAAATTCAATTCTAAATTCTATAGACTTGTTCCTAACAACTTTCTTAAAAAGTACAAACTGTCCTATCTATACCTTGACTCGCCACGCCTTTGATCAATTCAGTACTAAGTTCGTGTTCCTGTTTGTGAGAATTGACATCTGATCACAATCTGTACTTGTACAGGCACCCTTGCCGCAGCTGTTCACCGCACCGTCTACCACACCGTCTACTTCACCCGTCTACCACACCTCCGCTCTAGTCTATGGTGAGTACTAGTATATGAACGCTAGATCCATGCAATTTAACTTGATACTTTATATTCAAAATGTTGAACGGAAACGTCCCCTGACGCAACTCGATTGCACCTAAAGCCTTAGACACCAGTGGGCAAATAATATTAATAAGTAAAAATAGAGGTTATCACGCGAGTGTAATTTTAGATAATAAATATCCTGTATTGGGAACAGACATTTCATTTAGCGAGTTTGGGCCTCACCCACTCACCCACATTTAACTGGGTTCTTCTATATGCAGGGGGCACGGGTGGCCCAGTCGTCTAAGGCGCCGCGATTCGCTGTGCAGAGTTGTGTCCCTTGGGCACGCCAGAAACCTATGATTGTGGGTTCGAATCCCGGTTCGCCCCAATTATGTTTCTAGGTTTGTCAGCACCATACCCGTGGTCGTGGGTTTCACCGAAGTGGTAAACATCTTAGATCTGCATCACTTCGGGCTTTCCTCCCACATTAAGCTGACACGCCGTGATATAACTGGAATAATGTTAACAGCGGCGTTAAACCCAACTCACTCACTCACTCTTCTATATGCTCTCGAGGTGACCCAGGGCAGACTAGATAACCCGGTACCTACCAGTTGTTGAATACAATTAGGGCCAGTCACATGTGTGATTGTACTTACGTTGATCATTCTACAATCCCATCGACCACTGTTCCCTTGTCAGTCACATGTTAGCTGTAATATTGCTGCCTGGGGCGTTCTACAACATTCACCTCCTCCCCTTTCCACATGCAATGTTGACTCTCCCACCCTTAGATGTTCCAGAAACTCCACTTCAATACACCTCGTCAAAGAGGAACAGGTCTGACGCATATGAAATTAGTGTGTAAAGACCAATCGCAATAACACATGGTGACATACAATTCTTGTCAAATAGAAAACTCAATGTATATCGAGTTTGGTCAGTGAATTCTTTGAATAGCTTGTTTGGTTGACTCGTTTGTTATTTCAGCATATGTCAGACAGTCTTTGAATTAAGAATAAGATTTTTTAAACTGTTACATTAATTTATTTTCTAAAGGTTGTGTCAAGCCTAGTTTGCCACCAGCTGCAGCCTCTGTCGCCTCCTGTCACCAGCCTCTGTCGCCACCTGCCTCGGTTGCCACCTGCCACCAGCCTCGGTTGCCACCTGCCACCTGCCACCAGCCTCCGTTGCCACCTGCCACCAGCCTCCGTTGCCACCTGCCACCTGCCTCAGTCGCCACCAGCCTCGGTTGCCACCTGCCACCTGCCACCAGCCTCCGTTGCCACCTGCCACCAGCCTCTGTCGCCTCCTGCCACCAGCCTCTGTCGCCTCCTGCCACCAGCCTCTGTCGCCTCCTGCCACCAGCCTCTGTCGCCACCTGCCACCTGCCACCTGCCACCAGCCTCTGTCGCCACCTGCCACCTGCCACCAGCCTCTGTCGCCACCTGCCACCAGCCTCTGTTGCCACCTGCCACCAGCCTCTGTCGCCTCCTGCCACCAGCCTCTGTTGCCACCTGCCACCTGCCACCAGCCTCTGTTGCCACCTGCCACCTGCCACCAGCCTCCGTTGCCACCTGCCACCAGCCTCTGTCGCCTCCTGCCACCAGCCTCTGTCGCCTCCTGCCACCAGCCTCTGTCGCCTCCTGCCACCAGCCTCTGTCGCCACCTGCCACCAGCCTCTGTCGCCACCTGCCACCTGCCACCTGCCACCTGCCACCAGCCTCTGTCGCCACCTGCCACCTGCCACCAGCCTCTGTCGCCACCTGCCACCAGCCTCTGTTGCCACCTGCCACCAGCCTCTGTCGCCTCCTGCCACCAGCCTCTGTTGCCACCTGCCACCAGCCTCTGTTGCCACCTGCCACCAGCCTCTGTTGCCACCTGCCACCTGCCACCAGGTTCTGTTGCCACCTGCCACCTGCCACCTGCCACCTGCCTCTGTCGCCTCCTGCCACCAGCCTCTGTTGCCACCTGCCACCTGCCATCAGCCTCGGTTGCCACCTGCCACCAGCCCCGATTTCCACCTGCCACCAGCCTAGGTTTCGTCCTGCCTCAGTTGCCACCAGCCTCAGTTGCCACCTGCCTCAGTTGCCACCTGCCTCAGGTACATCCCCTGACATACTTGTCAGACTCTCTTACCAAACTAATCCGGACCAGCCAACATATCCAGCTGCCCATGGTCTTGACGTAAACAAAGTTAGTTTCTAAAGTAGATTCTTGATGGCAAATAATAGATGTTCTTATCCTGATGCTTGTTAATTGCCTCTTTCATATGTTAATGAAAATTTCCTCATCACTTCAGGTGTCGCTCCGACTGACCAGAACACAGCCTCAGTCACCTTAACAGTTGCCAGGCGTAGTTGCCGTCCATCCTCACTTTCCACCAACCTCAGCCTCATCCTCCAGCTGCCTCATCCTCCAGCTGCCTCACCGTCAACAATCCAACGGTCACCGACTTCTTCACGCCATCAGTAAGTAAAACTGAAGCTGTAGAGGAATCATTTATACTGTAGGAATTAATTCTTCATGTACATAGATACAGTTGTCATATTAGTGCATGCAATTCCTACATTATTTGTCCGTCTTCAAAAAATGCCACACGTATGTGAATTGATCGTCATGTTTGTTTAAAAAATTGATTGATTGATTCTGAAATTAACAAAATATTGTTTTTTCTTCAGGTGAGGTGCGGCTACCCTCTCCAACATCCGCCAATTACACCGCTCTATGTGCAGGAATTGACAACCCCTGATACACTCTATATCCATGTGTCTTATTACTGAATCATTTCATTTCATCAATCTTCACATAACCAGGAAGATCCAAAGATGCCAACATGTTGGAATTATAAGGATCTGTTTTGTATGTTTAAAACTTGGTACAACATCCTGCTTTTGACACGATCGTCCACTTACAAGTCCCGGATGTTGTCCATGTGTACCTCCTGATGACTCGGCAGCTCTGAGGTGTTGAGGGGTGTTTCATGTTTCATGGCTCAGTTTCTGCCTGAAACACCCGCTAACACCTTCTAGTTGAACGATGACTCGGTTGTATTCACAACCATTTTCTAGGGTAATTGTATTTGGTCAATGTCTTTAGTCAGAGGATTGTTGTGAAAGTTTTCTTCCGAGAACGTATCAAATTGCATTTGGTTAAAACGTCACCTCAACAAAATATTTAGGTTGACATTCATGATACAATGAGTTAAAGGAGAATATTCCCAATCATGTGCGGTGTAAGGTAGAATGTTGGCAGTATCAGTATCAGTCTACCACTGACGTGCATGAATGTTCAACAGAACAACGTGATAAGGTAAGTTACAAATGATTAGACTCACTTATAGACAGACTGTTCCAAACAACTTTCTTAAGTACAAAACTTCCTATCTTTCCCTTTACAGAACACTCCTTTGGTCAATTCAGTTCTAAGTTCGTGCTCAGGTATATGAGAAATGACATCTGATCATAATCTGAACGTTTACAGGCACCCTTGCCGCAACCGTACACCACCCCGCCAACCACATCCGTCTACTGCAACCGTCTACTGCAACCGTCTACTGCAACCGTCACCACTCTTAATCTATGGTGAGTGTATGAAGGCTCGGTCGCTGCAGTTCATATGTCTGTAGTATTGTTTGTAGTAGTCACTGTGGCGCACCACAGTATGGAAGCATGTTAGTACCAGCCTCCAAACATATTACCATTACACTATTATATATACGTTTCGTTACTCGGACAGTAATATTGTCTTGTGAATTGCGACCCTAGTTTATCTAATTACAACTTAAATGTTTGGCAGCGTGTTTATTTGGCCTTTCCATATTTGTACAACATACCCGGATCATTTATTTTTAATTCCCATGCTTTCATGTTCACGTTTTACCTCCTGAACCTATTTTCCGTAATGTAGAAATCATGACAAACAGCATATTCGAGTGATTTCTTCAGCTAACATGTTAAAACACCGCTAAAGGTTTGAGTAGATAATAGTAGATAATATTATTTATCATATAATGGGTAGGTTTCTCAGCAGGATAAAGCCAACGGATAAAAAGGATATTCGTTGGGGTCATATGCGGATAGATGCAAATATCAAAATTCAAGAAGAGACAACTTTCAGAGTTTATAAACAAACATTGCGTCGCACTTGTCATTCGGCGATCGAGTCAGAATTAACCATCGTGAATCTGGATAAACTACAGGGATAATTCCTACAATTATCAAAAGAACGGTCTTATATACTGAAAATCGACCTGCGACGTAACTAAGGCATTTTATAAGTTTTGGCAATTTTGGAGATACAAATTTCGAAACTTTTTTGCGAGGGCACTAGGCCTAGCCAAGCGGGATCAGTAGCCATATGTGTGCTTTTACACCTCTGCGGCTTGAAACCTTCTCCACAAATAGTTGGATTTAGGCGAAATATGTATGAATTGTTACCTTGTTTCGTTTTGGTGCTACATCTGACTTAACTTCTTAACGTTATGACAGAACAGGCCGACTGTTGATGATGGAGATAAAGATACTAGAGATATGAATATACACATGCATGTTTAACCATCTTCCATCTATGTTCATATACAACGAATGTATCTCTCTCTCCAACAGGCATTTCCCCCGAATACCAATGGACGAGTGTGGACCCAGCTTCTGTCCTCCACGATGTTTAGGAACTCTCAAGGACTGGAGTGTCCCTTCAGCCATGCTGCTCCAATATCTGTGCTTGTCACACTGAAGACTACAACAAGACAATCTGTATAACCATAGTTACAAAGGATGCTGACATCAGATATCAGTTGATTGTTAACTAAGTATCTTCAATTCAAATCAAATCAGTTATAATTGTCTTTCAACGTCACCTGTACAACGTAATTCTTACTTCCCTGTTCTATTACCACTTACTCCAAAACCGTCATATGAAATTTATTTTGATCTCTATCAGATGGATGGATATATACAGGTGTAGTTGAGCCATGCTGCCCTGGATATATACATCTGAATACAAATAAGTACAGATCAAACGTGAATATGTTGACACTCGGGGAATTCAAAAGTTTAGTGTTATAGTTGAGGATACACACAGGTTGCCGCCATTCTTCAAATTCTTGTCTGCATTTGTCATTTTAATTTGTAAACTTTCTTTCGGCCTTTCATGAGAATGGATATATACAGATGTGGTTGAGCCATGCTGCTCTGGATGTATTCATTTGATACCTTCTAAACAAGCATAGAGAGTCTTCAAAGTATGAGTAAAAACAGGGGTATCAAACCATAATTAAACTGTACAAACAAGTCAAAAAGTCAATCGAAAAGTTGATCTGGGCACGGACGTATATACGTCTTTGATCTGGGTCACATTTGATCTTGTCATTGCAAATTGCAGTGATATTAATGACGATATGTCATATCTATACATTCAATAAGTATAAACGTTTTACCTTGAGGTGACATCATCCTCGTTGAAGGGTTAGGTTCGATTGTTAACTTGTCACAGTGTCTGAATTTCTGATATTCTTAATATACAGCTAAAAGCAGTCAAAAGCCACAAAACCATGATGAAACATGTATATATTTCTATATATTTTTCCTGCTCCTTTTATTCTCATTTAAACGTCTTGTAAGAACACATGGCTGTTTAAATGTGTGATTACGTGGTGCTTTCGCTCATTTGTAAATTTGTTTTTAATAAAGTTTTAAACTCATCTATGTCATGTTGTCAAGTTGTCACCAGGTTACTTTTTGCTGCCACGTCTCGTGCCTGGATTCCTGATCGTGGGTTCGAATCCCAGATCCCAGTTTGCAAGCACCACGCTCTGACTGGTTTTACCAGTGCTAAACGTGTACGACATGCATCATTTCAGGCTCTCCTCCCACATCAAACTGACACGCCGTGATATGTGACTGGACTACTGTTCAACACTGCGTTAACCTCCTAAATGGGGTCCCTGACAAAAATGGAGAGTGGTTTTCATTTATAACAGTCAGTCTTTATGCCAAATTCCTTCCCTCTAAATTGGTATCAACAAAACATTATATACAGAACAAGAATCATAGACAACAGGCTTTTATATGATGTACGACCCCCCCCCCCCCCCCCCTACAATTGAAGATGTTATGTTCCTTTCCTCAATCACTTGGTTGATTCCAAGGAGCGCAGATATGCAACATGTTGCGATGAATGAAATATATTTATCAATGCATGGTAATTTCATCAATATTCTTTTTTAAAAAAACACTATCTAGTAACCATTATTTTGAACTAGTCAAGAAAATAGGTGCTTAATTTTAAACTTTTACACGTTTTTCAATACCTGTGATCCATTTTCTGCACGTCCAAAGACTGCTGGTCTATTTACGCTTACAAGGGAACACCTTTTTTTGCGTTCGTGTCGCCAGGGTAGAATGGATATACTTGTCTTTTATACATTTAAAACTTCGCGCTGAAGTTTTCGGTTCCAAATTAAAATAAGAGATACATGTATTGGGTCATTCTGTTTAAGGATTGGTTTTTCGTTTTGTTTCGTCTACAGGTACCTAGACTTGAGCAGTCTCCATTATATTATAATTAGATGTTTTGTTAGTAAATAATCGAGTCTGGACCAGACAACCCAGTGATTGACATCATGAGCAACGATCCATGCAATTAGGATACGATGAAATCAACCAAGTCAGCGAGGCTGCCCACCCGATGTCGTTAGTCGCCTATGTAATACATATCAGAAATCGTATATGGATATATATGAGAGAAGCAATTTTGAAATATTGGTTACGGAAAGTTGCGAATGTGCATATGCATGTAGGAAACTCATTCGTGACCAACTCGTGTTATTCCGGGACAAGCCGAATAGCGATTCAGGTTACGGAAAGGGGCGAGTGGTGACGAATGGTAGGAAACTGTCGAGTGGCCGAATAGGCTTCACGGTACCAGTCTAGACGCTGTAATTGGTCTCTCGTTGAAACTGGTATACTGTCTACTGGATGCAGAGAATGCATCACGTGGAATATATGACGATATCCTTTTTAACCAATTCCACGTTGGGATGTAAGAGTATCGGTTGATGTATAATCATTTGTGTATCAAATATGCATGTTGTCCAATTATAGGCTTTATGCGAATGGTAAATGTGATTATTTCACTTTGTTCAATACGTAATTGAAATCTCACGATAAAACTATTTTCTCAAAATTTGAAGTTTGTTCACACCTGAAGTTATCCATTACATTTCTGTGATCGGATTTGTCATAGACGTTGTATTGGAAAATTAAAAGCTCGGAATTGTCTTGGGTCGGGATCTTGTATGAAGTGGTGATATGATGCAATCTTCTCACAGGTGGCCCAGTCCAAGACGCTGCTGCAATTTGTTGTGCAGAGTTGTGCCCTTAGGCAATTCAGGATTCAATGATCGGGGGTTTGAATCCCCTGTTGGCTGACCCTGATTCTGGCCTTTGGCTTGTCAGCACCAGGTTTATGAGGTACGCCCTATGGAATCAGTTTCTGCGGATAATCGAGGATGGTTATTCGCAGACGTTGACGTTAGCATTTACACCTCTTTTCACCCCACGAGCAGCATGTGTCAGTTCCGTTACCATGTGTTTTATCCAATTGGGGATTGAGGTGTGATTCTCTCTTTTTTGAAAGCCATGGACCTCTCTCAGGGTCTGGGGCCTGCCTATAGGGCTTCCCTCTATATGAGGGGCGGTGGGTTAGTCTAGTGGTTAAAGCGTTCGCTCGTAACGCCAGAGATCTGGGTTCGATTCCCCACATGGGTGCAACGTGTGAAGCCCATTTCTGGTCCCCCCGGCGTGATATTGCTGGAATATAGCTCAAGGCGGCGTAAAACCATACTCACTCACCCAGTCACTCACACCTTCAAGATGAAGTTGACACGCTGTGATATACCGTATTCGACGTAATAAGCGCCCCGCTCCAATAAGCGCCCACGGCGATATTTGCTAATATATTGGCTCGTGAACCACCCCAATTAGCTCCCTTTCCGATTGATCAATGTACACAGGACTTATTTTGAGAGCGCCATGGGCGCTTATTACGTCGAATACGGTGACTGAAATGCCGTTGAAAGAACATTTAATCCACGTATGTTGAGTATAGGTTGGAACTACTCCGGCCAATACCAGACTTAAGCCAGTGTATACCAACTACAATGTGCTAAAGTCAGTCCAGTGCCAATAGCTTCTGTCCCACAGTAGACAACCAAGTGAAACACAGCTACCAAATGACGCATGGGGGTATGGATTCAACAGAGTTACGTCCCTTGAGAGGTGCAGTATCCTATGGCTGTTGATTCACACTGACAATGATCCTTGGTCTGTCAGCCCCATTGCCTTCATTATGGGTTTCACCAAAGTGATAAACTTTGAGACCTGCAGCAACTCCGGTCTTTCCTCCCACGTTATGCAGACACAGGGTGTGAAATGGAATAGTGTTTAAAGCGATGTTAAACCCATTTCACCCAATCCTGCACCAGAATCTCTTCAAGGAGACACCCACGAGGTACTGTGGACCTGCATCAGAATTATTTCAAGGAGATACGCATGAGGTACTGTGGACCTGCACCAGAATCTCTTCAAGGAGACACCCACGAGGTACTGTGGGATCTGCATCAGAATCCCCAAAGGAGAAGAGTTGTATACTGGAAGTAGTACATCATTCTATCAGCAAATGGTTTACATCCTTGCTGACTTGGTTGATTTCATCGTATCCTAATTGCATCGATCGTTGCTCATGATGTCAGTCACTGGGTTGTCTGGTCCAGACTCGATTATTTAAGTCTGATTGGTCATTAGGAGCGACATAGAAGAGACATAACTCGTAATAGCCACTGGCGCTACGATAACAATCAGCTCTAACTATTCATCTGGCCATGCACATTTTATGTACATGAGATACGTCTGATAACATAACCATTATCCAGACAGTCACATGACAGGCAAGATGGCGACCGCCGTGCATGTTGTGGTGTTGGCGGTGTTGTTGTCGGTGGTTGTAGGGGAGGCAGCACATCGAGTCAACGTTCACGCCGTGTATGATGAAACCAGTGGGCGGTTCCAGGTACTCGAGGGATTCACCACAGAGGATTCCCTGGCGTGGGCACAGTTCATCAACTCCGTCAATGAAACTGGGTGTGTTTTGCCGTGTTGATACACTGAAATATTATTTATGTCTATATTCCTGACAGATGTTGAATTTACCTTTTAAATTCTGATCTTTTCACTCTTTATATGCTCTTTCTTGTATAGCTGTTCTGTCGGATGTATTTCTACATTAATAGCTCCGAACACCCACTCAATCGAGTAGATTGGAGTGATATGTATTGATGTTTGATTTAGAATGCTATACACGATAAACATAAAAACATGTCAACACTGTATCTTTGCAATTTATTTTAAGTGAAAAGAATTTTCAGTACGGTAAATTTATTTTTTTTGATCTACAGATTGTGATTTGTGAAATATTGATTTATTAATATTGTTGTATCTCTCCCTTAAACCGCCAACTTCCATGAGAGTCCCTGTCGGCAATACGTCACAAATATGTTATGATCCCGATTTGTTATAAACTGTTGGTCAAAGAAGGTGTATACACTAGAAAATTGGATTTGACCAAAAAATCTAAAAGTTATTGAAACGTTACTGTACGCCACATCGGACATTTATACCCCAGTTTTCCTCATATCCGATTTTTCGTAATATCCCACTATTCGCGGTCACTCAGCACTATTCGTAATATCCGACTATACGGCACACCTGACAATTCGTAGTACCCCACTATTCGTCATATCCCACTAATCGTCATACCAGACTGTTCGTAATATCCGGCTACATGTATTCGTATCATCACACCATTCGTCTTATCCGAACATTCGTAATATCCGACTACTCGTACTAACCCACTATTCGTCATAACCGATTTGACTGTAAACGACAATGTCATGTTCTCCATTAACACAGATGGGGTTATCTAGAACTAAGCACGCAGTATGAATACGATGAAAAATACAACGACTCCATGTTGGCCTACGCTGCCGGCTTGGTGGAGGGCTACGTCACACGTGACCTCATCAACATGCACTGGGAGAACACCATGGCCGGCTACTGCGACGAACCCTACTCCGCCTACTGTCAACGTCTGCGCGACTTCCTCGAGACCAACTTAAACTGGATTCGAACCTCAATCAAGAACAACCCCGATGACCCCTACTGGCATCAGGTTAGTGATTGAATGAATGTCACTGAACGCCGCAGCCAGCTCCAGATGTAGGTAAATCAGTTTCATTAAAATCAGACCTTAGTTCTCGCTACCGCTAAAAAAAGATCTGAAGACATCCCATTTGGGGTCACGTCAGAACGACCTTTCATCCGACAAATCAGTGCGTCGCTTACCAGATTATGAAAGTGACACTCGGAATGTGATTTCTAATCATGCAATCTCGAAAACTTTAACATGGATTATTCTAAACGATAGTGTCGGGTTTAACGACTGAATCCTTACACTCTAGACATCTATTAGCCATTCCAGAATGTTTTTTTTGTTTAGGTTTCCACATTGTAATCGAGAATATGTCAAAATATGTTTCGAAGCGTAGTCGCCAATTTGAAATTTGTGCCGTAAAGCACGAGAAAGCTGCCTTCTGATTGGTCATTTCATTGGTCGGTCTGACGCGATGTCCGCAGATCTTTGTTTAGCGGTAGCGAGAACTAAGATCCGATTTTAATGAGATTGTAGGTAAATATGCGTTACATGGAATCTGTATCTTCTGATTGTGATATCTTAAATGATGTAAGTATTTCTACTCCAGTCCTGCCCGAGGTATTGAGTAGAGGAATAAGCCGAGTGTACCCGAGTGTACCCTAGTGTACCCGAGTATATTTTCTGTGTGTCCCAGGTGTCCCAGGTGGAGATGTATCAGGTAGCGGATATAGTCGAGCGTACCCAAATGTTCCCGAGTGTATTTTCTGTGTCCCAGGTGGAGATGTATTAAGTAGCGGATATAGCCGAGTGTTCCCGAGTGCATTTTCTGTGTGTCCCAGGTGGAGATGTATTAAGTAGCGGATATAGCCGAGTGTACCCGAGTGTTCCCGAGTGTATTTTCTGTGTCCCAGGTGGAGATGTTCTACACCCAGCTGCGGGGGATGTCCGACGGCTACAACAATGACCCTCAGAGGCCCTCGCTGGACATAGACCCATTCGGGTTGTAGTAAGTACAGCGGCTGACTTCAGATCAGTTCAGAATGGTACTCGACATTGAATAGTAGGGAAAGGATAGCCGAACGATACAAAGCGCAGCAACCCGAAATGTCGAGTTGCGTCCCTTAGATGTGCCATGATCTGCAAGGTGTGTTCGAATTAAAGACCCCACCGTGCTTGTCGGTTTCCTCAAAGTACTGATCTCTCAAGATGTATCACTTCCGGTTTCGTCACCTTAGGTTGACATAACTGAATGTTTGTTTCCAACTTTTATCATTTATTTGTTTTGCTTCTCGTCTCATTTACCAATACAGAGGTGTAATACACGAAAAGAAATTGGGGCTGATTAAACAGTTACAATGCCTTGTTGGTATAGTTTCTCTCCCTTGGGTCCAGCATGTTCCAGATCAGTGACGACGTGGGGGATCTGGAGGTAGCGCTTCACAAACCCGGCGTCAGGGTCGACCAGCCACGACGTGGTCACTGCTCCGCCATCGTCAAAGTCGACCCTGAGTACGGGGACCTCCTCGTCGCCCACAACACGTGGACCAGCTACAAGAACATGCTGCGCATGCTCAAGAAATACACGCTACAGTACAGCATGACTGACGCCATGAAGGGTAAGATGTGATCAATGAGGTCATTGTCTTCGTTTTACATAACATTTCCGGTTCTTATTTTACAATACAAAGGCAAATGTTCTATTAAGTATATATTATTTTCTTGCATGAATTTCATGAACTTAGTGACAATGAGATAGATCGAAAGTAGTTCCGTCATAACGTGATATTGTACTCCAGTGAAATATCGATTTTTTATTATATACATAAGTATGAAATATATAGATATATAGTGAAAATATAAATGGTATTGTGAAATAAATTTGAAAAATGATATTTCACTGCAGTGAAAATATAAGCTTATATTTTAACCGGTGAAAATATAAGGTTTGAACCGGAACTACTTTCATCTCGAGTTACTTCCCCTTGACACAAAGGCATAATTTCATGATTACCTCCCTTGGATCGTCTGCTAGCCAAAATGAGCGACAACATTGAGAGAGGTGATGTGGATAATTTATTATCTGCAATAGATTACAGCATACTTGGTGATAAAAAGTATAAATCTATCAGTGATGATGATGTTTCAAGGTTTCTTCGAGATCTGGAAAATGAAAACACAAGAAAGAAGACAGATAGAGACATTAGAATTATTAGTGATTACCTAGTGATGGTTGAGGGGGAAACTAGAAAAATTGAAGAAATCGATGCAGTATCTTTAGATTCCTATTTGTCAAGATTTTTTCTGTCAGTAAAAAAGAATGATGGATCAGAATATGAACCAGTCATTCTAAAAAGGTACCAATCTTCCCTACAAAGATACTTGAAACAAATGGGTTCTACATTTAACATCATTTCCAATATCACATTTGAAAGATCTAGAGAAACACTCAAATGCAAACAAAAAGAACTTAAACCAATGGGTAAAGGCAACAAACCCAAGGCTGCTGAAGAGCTGTCAGATATGGATATTGATGCCATGTACGATGCCAAGACCCTCGGAAGTGATAACCCACACAGCCTCCTTCACACCATGTGGATGATTTGTTGTCTGAACTTCGGCATGAGAACTGGAAAAGAAACCAGAAATTTACAATGGGGAGACATTGACATTAGAAATGATGATGATGGATCCGAGTATCTTATCTTTATAAGTGAGCGACAAACAAAAACAAGACCTGGGGATAATCCTAAAAACATACGGCAAATAAAACCAAGAGCCTGTTCAACACCAGAAGACCTGGAAAAATGCCCTGTCAATGCATATAAATTGTACAGACAAAGACGACCACCAGCCTCGTGTACACCAGACAGTCCATTTTTTCTAGCAGTCAATAACAACAGGAAGGAACAGTCGTACTGGTACAAAAATGCCCCACTGGGTGTCAACAAGCTATATGGAATTATGAAGGCTATGACAGAAGGTGCTGACATAGCCGATGACAAAAGATTGACACCATACAGGTAAATATTCAATATCTATATTAGTTTTGGATAAACACTTCAGTATAATATTGGGAAAAACAATGACAATCAGCCATAAAGTAAGTCAAAATAAATTAGGTAATAAATATCAAATAAATGGCATGATATTGAATATACCTGAATCATTTGGGTTTTTTTCAGTATGAGGAAACACCTGGTCCAGAAGTTGACAGACAGTGGCGTTTCTCCCAATGACATCATTCAGATATCTGGTGAGATAACAGCTGTAAACATAAAAAAATGAATTTATGAAATATTTATACTACATATATTAAAACAATAAAATTATATGGAAAAAACATATTTAGAAATAGATTTTGAAGGTTGGTATTCCACTGAAGTGAAAATATACATTAATTTTATCTACACTTATTTAATAAGTCTGAGGACAATAACAAATGTAGTTTCCTTTTTAAATATCAATGGTTAAAATGTGTTTGTATAAGTTAGTTATATTCATTTTGTTGGTATTTTGAATATTATGAGAACATATATTGGTAAAAAAATAAACATTTGGCCTCATGCTATAAACTTGTTGTTTTAAGACATTAAAGTAATGAAATACCAAATACAAAATAAAATACTCTTTAGAGAAATACAAATATCATTCATTCGTCTTTCAAAATATGGATAAACTGTTATTTTGAATTATTTTGTTTTACAAATTTCAGGCCACAAAAGCGTGAATTCGATAAATAATTCCTCAAGTATGAATACTGAAAAGCAGAAGGGAATATCTCGCATTCTGTCAAACAGTAACACCGCCAGCAGCACAGTCACAACAGCTGATCGAAATCCGGATTCGGCACCAATGCAGGGTGGATTTGCGATGCAATCTGTGTCCAACCGCCTTCAGAATCAACATTTTCTGACAAGCTTGTTGTCTGGAAATACCATCAACGGAAATGTTAACATATGTTTATAACCTGACATGTTCAATGTATCAATGTCCTCCGAAAAACACACTGCAAATGCGACAACATCAAACACATGTGAAGACGAGTTACCACCATTGAAAAGACCATGCTTGCAATAGAATGACAAGATCATCTTGAAATATGGCATAAATAATGTTCGTCATAAAATATTGACAACAGAATATGTTTGGACTTACCTTTTCACGTTCATATTCAGTGTTTGTTATATCCTTTTACGTTGTTGACTTTGTTGACAAAAGTTCAAACTTTCGAAGCGAAGCGAGTGTGCGACGTTGTTTTTCTCTGAACACAATCAGCTGACTATGGATTATTATGTATTCCTACGCATTGACGTTAGTGCGAAACATTGTTTGGACAATGAGTTGTATACAATAATACATTAAGAAATTGATAAAATGCCAATTTCAATAAATGTTTTTGATTCACATTTGTAATTTGTTTTCTTTGACAATTTGAAATGAGTATAAATTGAGCGAACTATTTACTTCATCGTAGTAAAAGCGACAGGTCGTATGTGAGCAGGTCGAGCCGCGAGAAATATCGTCGTTCTCGTAGTTGAAAGATCTGACTAAATTTCAATTTAAAATATGTTAAAGTGGGAGATGTATATAATAAATAGACTACTTCATGCTTTTTTGTCGAATACGATTTATATTTCGTCGAGTGAAGCCTCAAACCCCATATTGTTTCTCGATCTTCGATCTCGAAACAATATGGGGTTTGAGGCTTCACTCGACGAAATATAAATCGTATTCGACAAAAAGCATGAAGTAGCCTCTATTTATTTAGAGAGAAATATTGTATTTCATCACTCAATGCATAATGAAGAGACCAGTGTGTTTCAGTGCAGTATAATATGATATATTATGAATACATCATCATATAATAAAGCAAATGGTACATGTTCATATTCCTTGTGTTCCTTGATCAGGCGCCACCCTTAACCTAATCAGACGTTATTTCACATATTGAGGTAACGTTAGATTCCGCGTTTGAATACAATGCTGGAGTGACTGTGCTCTTACGACAAGCATGGGTTGCTGAAGTTCGATTCCTACCCGGAATCTTCACGGGTCTCTCCCACGTTAGCCGGACATGCCGTGAACTACTGCTCAGAGGGGAATAATACTCACTCACTCACTCAGTACCCCCTTGTGTCCCCAGGCGTGATGCCCAGGGGCAGTGTGTGGACGTTCTCCTCCTACCCCGGCTACCTCGTCTCCTCCGACGACTTCTACGTGCTCTCCTCCTGGATGGTAGGCGAACGTTCTCCAAACATCCCGGGTTTAGACTTTTTCAGGCACGGTGGCGTAGCCCAGTGGTTACAGTGTTCGCCCGTCCGCTTTCAAGTCGGGTTCTGTATGTTTTCAACATCTAACAAATTCGTGTCCCCAATCTTGATGTCGTTATGGGCTTAACACAGTACCAAAGTAGGGAGTCGAACTCAGGCTTCCCAAGTGAAAAACAAGGGTGTTTACTATTAGGCTAACACAGTATCCCTGACACGGGGATGGTGTCAAGAAACCCCTAGAGGTAGCCAGTGAGCGCTCATGCCATGCGCTGCTTAATCCCCAAACGAGGCTTACATTGCCGTTTTAATTTGACGTCACAAGTTTATCCCCAAAAATATATTGTCTCAGAAAATGCTTGAAAAATATATGTTTGCTTGTTTGCTTTAACCTATTGAAAAAAAAGGAACTGCCTTCAATAGAAAAGACGTTGATGCAAGAAGATTTTTTGTGAAATAAATATTTAGGCTTAAGGTTTGAATCTTCGGGTGCCACTCCCTGGCTTGATTGTAAGCCTTACGGACAAGGAAAGTGGGTCGATACTGGGAAGCCGGGATACTGTAGGACTATTTCTCACTACAACGTGGATGAATCTTACGTAGGAAGATGAGGACTGTATTGTGCATCATGTGTGTTGTCTCCAGGTCACCATGGAAACAACAATCCCCAACAACAACTCCGCCCTGTACCAGCACACGAAGCCCGAGGGGTGCGTGTTGGAGCCCGTGCGGGTGTGGGCGGCCAACAGACTGGCCGCGACGGGACAGGAGTGGGTGCTTAACTTCAGCCGGTACAACAGCGGCACGTGAGTCCATCACTCAGTTGGGACACCTGTGGCCCAGTCGTCTTAAGGGCCCCCCACATTGACGCAGCGCGCGAGCGGCGCGCCCGCTTTAAAGAAATCGCAACAGTGCTATTTCAATGAACTGCCAATGCTCATGCGGCGCGCTAGCGGCGCGCGGGCGTCGTGATTTTCGAATCGCTCAAAAAGCGATTTTTAACGCGTGACGCCCCGACGCATGGGGGGATCCCCTAGTTGTGTCTACAGTTGGTTGATTTTTTAGATATAGATGGTCCAATATATCTCAATATTTCGTCAAACTTGGTCTTCGGCATTCTGAAATACTCAGAAAACATACTATCATCAAGTTCTAGTTCTTTCACCAATGTGTTGTATTCTGTATTTTCTTTTTTTCTTGTAGTTTATGTATCCACTTTGGATCTTTTTGATTTTGTTTGTCTTCTCCTCATGAGATACAACAGGATTACTGTTCGTTTTCGTTGTTGCTGTCGGATTCTAGAGATGGTTAATGATCTGGAGCAAATAAAAGACTGTTAAATAAATTTGGATCTGTGATATATTGATATCCTTCACGAATGGTCAAAGGCATAAAACCATGGTTTTCCTTTAACGCGCTGCTTCAGTATGGGCGGTAGAGCAGCGCGTTATTGTGGAGAAAAAACGCGTTGTCGCGCTGCGCCGCTCGCGCGCTGCGTCAGTGTGGGGGAGCCTTTAGACGTCACAATTAACTGTACAGAAGTGTCTCCGTGAGACGTTCCAGAAGCTCGCGGCCTTGAGTTCGAATCCTAGATTTGCTTTGATTATGTTTTCAGGTTTGTTTGCGCCAAGTTCCTGCTCTTGGGTTTCACACCTTCAGCAAGCCATGCTTGCTGCAAGCGGCGACTAGCGGAATCGGGTGGTCAGGCTCGCTGAATTGGGTGATGCATGTCATCATATCTGAATTGCGTTAATCGATGCTCATGAAGTCAATCACTGGATTGTCTGGTCCAGACTCGTTTATTTACAGACCGCCATCAAATAGCTGGAATATTGCTGATTGCGGCGTTAAACAACAACAACAAATTTGTGGAATTTAGTTTCCGACATATGGGGAGTCTGGTAATAAATAATTATGGTGTGTGAGTAGGTTATTCTTTTGACTTTCACCCAGTTGTGTTGTAAACAAAAAGATGGAGAAATGTTCCTTTGCGGATAACTAAAAGAGAAAAGTATATATACATGTATATGAAAGTTCATTTGAGTCATTTCCCTTTGACTGGTGTTTTGTTTGTTGTTGTTGTTTTTTCATTTTGTTTTCATTTTTTGGTTAAGCTACAACAACCAGTGGATGATTGTGGACCAAAAACTGGTTCAAGAAAATCTTCCCCCGGGGGTACTGACGATTGTAGAGCAGATGCCGTAAGTACCCATCCTGCCCCGGGGGTCATGGCCTGTTGCAGCACATTCAACAGCGGATTATACGCAGTGGTAATACCGTATGATATGCAGCATCTTTAACGTACGCAGGGTCAATAACATATTTTATTACCCGTAAAACCGAGTTTATAAAATCGTATGTGCGCTCCATGTAGTGGAAATATCACTTCAAGCGCACCAATGTGTATTGTTTACGTCATCAGCACGGTATTGTTGATGTCATTCGAATCTGATTGTGACGTAAGGTCGGAATGACGTCACAGTAGAAACGACGTCATAGCTGTCATTCGACAATTGTGGTTTTCTAAGACGGCGGTCGTGATAAGTACGTGTTTTTAAAGGGGAGCTCAAAAGAATAAAGAAGTTATGGGCAATAAAGAAATGATTACACTCGCATGGGTGTCGTGCTGATGTTTCGAGATGGATGGTGATAGACGTGATTGTCTTCCGATGGGATAAAAGTCCCATTCCTGGTGTGTCCGTCGTGTTTTTTCATGGATTATTCTTTAAAGCGTCGTAAACTGGTGTTGATTTTTATAAACTAATCCCCCTTTAATTAATTATGTTTCATATAATTCCATATTTTCAGGGGCTACGTTGAATATGCAGATGTGACTGACGTCTTAACGAAAAACACCTACTGGGCCAGCTATAACATTGCGTAAGTCCAAAATGAAATATGACTGTTTCCGGTTTCCCAACCGACCCTTATCTGGTTTCATCGATCTTAAAATCTTTTTTCTTGTGTTTTATCAAATTGCACCATACTTTTATCACCACCCCGGAATTGTTTGTATATTATTCCTTGGGCGTTTCGCTTCTGTGCGGCCATTTTTAGAAATAAAATATACGTCTTGTTGCAACCAGTTGTATGGTGTTACTATTCCGAATAAAGTGAAATGAATTTTGTTTGGACTAATAAACTGTTTTGACAGATATTTCCCGAAAATATTCAACATGAGCGGCCAACAACAGTTTGTCGACAAGTATGGGGACTACTTCACGCACGACATGTGCCGCCGTGCTCAGATATTCCGCCGCGATCACCACAAGGTCAAGGACAGAAATACGCTGTTTAATTTAATGAGGTACGGCTTGTAACCTGTACAGCAGGTTCAAGATTATATGCACGTATAAAACACTTTAACGCTCTATCCACAAGACCACGGATGGGAATCCGTGCTGATAGAGCAAGGATTATAACCTGGGAGAGTCTGTGATTCTCGCTCATAAAAAGCATATCCTTGCAAAACTAAGGGACACAACTCTCTTACTATGTGCAAAAACATCCCTCATCAAAATAAGACTACTTTCTTTTTTATCTGTTCGTTTCTTTGAACGAAAACCTACCAAATCACACGTGTACAATGCACAGAATAACATACAGCGTACTTCATAAAATACATAATTCACTGTTCATAAAGACAAACTATTATTACGTAAATATAAAGTATAACATAAAGTATCTTCCGTGTCGCCGCGACAGGAGACTACATTCGGTGTGGACTTCATGGGTTCGAATCCCGCTGGCGACACACGTTTTCCGTGAAATTGTTCTTTCATCAAGTTAGTTCCGAAGTTCCGTCATTGCCATGTGGTGTTTAACTGGCAATATAGTCAGTTAATACCCGGTCAAGAAAACAGAGCCATGGTTAAATGTGTAGTAATACACAATACTACAAAACGTAATTGACGGGTAAATAAAATATACAAGTCCTGTTTTACACTAGCAAATTTAACTAACACCCCGTCTTCATTGAGCACATGCTGTAATTTCGGTTCGGTATAATTTTGTCGGTCATGAAAAAAATTACATTACAACGTTACAAAGCCAATATATACTTAAAACTCTGACTCATAATCTGTAAGTCCCCATGGTCCCAGTATGGTGGTCTACCTTCAGTTGCTGGCGATCTATAGCCTGTTTTTATAATGTAATGGTATGTATAGTGCAATTGATTTTATGATTAGTTTACTTACTAATTTTAAATATATTTCTGTGATAAGCCTAGTTATTTTACTGTCCCTCGTTGGCAGGTTTTGATATAAGTTTCAATATATGTATTATATTTAACTACTGATAGTCACGATATGGCTGAAATATTGCCGATGTGACTAAAAAATTTAACTCACTCACTCGCTCACTCATAATCATCTCCTTATCTCAAAATGGCGGGCGTGACACTGACCTAGGCGGAAGTGAGGAGCGTCACGTGGTTTTGACGCCGAACGTGAAACATGATGCCCTACTCTGCACCGCTGCCGTGAACAGTCTACCAAGCAGGATTGTAAATTACTAACGTTGTTGTTTACTAACCTGGCCTTCTGGCCTCTGTTACTAAATTTAAATTAAAGTAAGTAGAATTCACGAGACCTTTTTTTCTCATTGTAGGTAAAGACAGGTTGACATATAAAATAAATCTTTCTGCTATTTGCAGGTACAACGACTTCCAACACGACCCCCTGTCTAAGTGCAACTGTACCCCGGGGTACAGCGCCGACCTCGCCATCGCAGCTCGCGACGACCTGAACGACGAAACCGGGACCTACCTCTACGACGCCCTAGGATACGCCATGAGGGGGGCTATAGACGTGAAGGTCAGATTTAGAATCACAGTATCGGGGTTCAACACAACCTCGATTATCCAGTTTATTATGTCTCATTTCTATGATGACAAATTATGCCAGGTCCTATTCCCAACTATAGCTTCGTTTTGAGCCACTGCTGAATGGCGTCATGCTAAATATAGTCATCCAATAGATGGAACTATTACATGCCTAATTCTTGATAGGAGAGATGGAGCTGGTGACGTCACTTCCGGGAAACGAAGCAATGTGGCTAATGCGTCCAGATTCGTTTTAGCTGGGAGATATGATACTCTGGATAATCGAGGGTTGTTTTAAATAGGAATTGTTAGCCTCCAGTAATTGTAGTGGCTAACAGCTGCGATGTCTTTCATTATGAGTGAGTGAGTGAGTGAGTTAATATTTAAAGCCACATCGGCACTATTTCAGCCATATCGTGACTTGAACAAGTTAAACATTTATATTATATATAAAAACCTGTCGCCGAAGGACAGTACAACAACTAGCAATATATCACAGATTATAATTTTAAAAACTAGTTTTAGAGCAATAAAATGATCAAATTATACCAGACGACACAGAATATACCGGGCTGTAGATCGCCAGCAACCAAAGTTAGGCCACCGTACCAGAGACCATGTCTTTCATTATGAACCCATGCTTGTTGTAAAAGGCGACTAACAGGATCAGGTGGTTGATGCATGTCACCGTATTCCAATCACTTGATTTATCTGTACAGACCGCCGTCATATAGCTGGAATATATTGCTGGGCGCGGCGTTAAACAACAAACAAACAAACACTATGAAATGTCAACTGCTCACTAACACGTGAGAAGTTTTTCTTTGCTGTTTGTGTTGAACCAAAGTCTGAATTTGCGCCGACATTCGGAGTTTCCGTCATGTGAAGTGCACATTGAAAAACATCGTAGATATTCTGTACCCCTTCATTCTAGAATTGTCCATGCAGGTAGCAAAAGTACTTTAAGTCCCCATGGACCCTAGCATGGTGATCTACCTTCAGCTGCTGGCGAACTATAGCCTTTTTTATATTGTACCGTAATTTATAGTGCTATCTTTTTTATAGTTGTATGCTAGTTTTAAATAATAAACTGTGATATTCTAGTAATTTTACTGTCCATCGATGACAGGTTTTAATTAAGTTGAAACTGTATGTATTAACATTTTTCGTCACGATATGGCTGAAATATTGCCGATGTGACGTAAAGCATTAACTCACTCACTCACTCACTCACTCATTCTAGAATTACCGATATTGGAGGGAAAACCTTACTCGTTTGTTTCTGGTTCACACTTATGTCCATGGGTATGTTGCGTTTGAATTTGGGGTATCAAAGTGAAACAAAATTATCAGCGTCAAGGCATTCACACTCATTCACTCACTCACTCCAGACTCAAGACTCGATTATTTACAGACCGCCGTCATGTAGCCGGAATATTGCTGAGGCCGACGTTAAACACCAAACAAACAAACAAGCAAATACAAAATATAACATGACACATAACATAATACATACTGGTCATTCAGGATGAAGATAAAATGTCAGTTGGGGTAAATAATAAATCGTTTGTGCCTTATTTCTAACACCGTTTAACTATAGAGTTCTCTCCCTTACACTGGCTTCCCATGAGGCCGTCTATCTGAAACTGGTCTTACGTCTTTTGAGTCGCGAAACAGTGATGTTGGTTTCGTCAGTCACATGCAAGCGAACATTTCCATCCCCAAGTCAAAATTCTTGATATCCTTAATGTCAGCCATGAGATGATAATATTCATTCAAGTACTGTTCAAGTATGTTTGTTTGTTGTTTATTGCAACACTCATGACGGTGGTCTGTATATAATTGAGTCTCCTCTTGAAAATCCAATGACTGACATCGTGAGCATCGAAATTGAGATATAGCACAACCGAGTCACCGAGCCTGACCACCCGATCCCGTTAGTCGCCTCTTATGACAAGCATGGGCTACTGGGGGCGGTCGGGTAGCCTAGTGGTTAAAGCGTTCGCTCGTTACGCCGAAGACCCGGGTTCGATTCCCCACATGGGTACAATGTGTGAAGCCCATTTTCTGGTGTCCCCCGCCGTGATATTGCTTGAATATTGCTAAAAGCGGCGTAAAACCATACTCACTCACTCACTCTCTGGGCTACGGAAGACCAGTTCTAACCAGGACCTTCACGGGTCTATTCCAGAAGGACACAAAACACCACTCACTATATATGTTGCTACATGCACACCACAATCTATATTTATCCCCGCCACAGATGGTAGGGACGGGGGAGATGCAGTGGCTGTTGTTTGATGCCGTCTCGGGGCCCACGTCTGACCAGCAACCGCCGTTCCAGTGGTCAAAGGTCAAGGACGCCGACACGTACCCCCACTTTGGACAGCCAGACATATTCAACTTTAAACCCGTGTCATTTAACGGAACAGTTTTACCACCTTTCACGCCCGCTTGGTACCCAGAAACATGACGTACAGTTAAACCTCGTTAATCCGGACGAACATGACATACAGTGAAACCTCGTTAATCCGGACGAACATGACATACAGTGAAACCTCGTTAATCCGGACTTGACTGTTCTGTGTCACGCCACTCGGATCGATGATATGCATCAACAAGCCTGACCCCCCGATCCCGTTAGTTGCCTCTTACGACAAGCATCGTCGCCTTTTACGACAAGCATGGGTTTCTGAAGACCTATTCTACCCCGGATCTTAACAGGTCTACTGTTCAGCGAAATCGTCCAGATTAACGAATCAGGGTAAAATTCCTTTATATCTTTACAGATGTCCCTGATACGTCAGGTGTCGGGATTATCGAGATGTCACTGTTCACAAAATTTTATGTTATTTACGGAATACTAATTTTTTTGTGTCTCTCTGTCTGTCTGTCTGTTTGTTGTTTAGGATCTCACTCTGCAATGTTCCAGTTATGTGTCAGCGATCTGTCAAGTATCGAATCTGGACCAGACAATCCAGTGGTTGACATGAGTATCAGACCGCCTCCGTGGTCTAGTGGTAGAGAGTCTGCCAGGAGAGCGGAAGGTCTGGGTCCGATCCCCCGCCGCGTCATACCAAAAGACGTTAAAAGATGGTACTTGTTGTTACCCTGTCTGGCGCTAAAACAAGGACTGGTCGGCTCGGAGTCAGTATACTGTGTCTGAGTGGGGTATTCATGTTAAACCCGCGGGATGGTATCTCCGTAAACAAGCACTATAACTCGGCATCAGTCCGGACTAGTACAAGCAGCCACACACACACGTGCATGCACGTCGCTGTATAAGTGCAATAATCTTGAACGCGACGTTAAACCCTATTTACCTCACCTCATGAGTCATGAGTATCGCTCTACGCAATTGGGATACGATGATATGAATCAACCAAGTCAGCGATCCTGTTAGTCGCCTCTAACGAAAAGCATGGGTTGCGGAAGACACAGATCTTCACTGGGGTATATAATTATTCAATGCATGAGACTTTTATTAAGTGTTTAGCATAAGCAGTCGCCATTTTGTGTAATAAGATATACTACGTGTCAGAGATCGTATATAATTACCTTAAACGGTAAGACAAAATCTAACATGAAATATTACAGTCTTCTTAATTGTTCCAGAGATAGCTCCATTCATCACGCACGTGAAGAAAAATAAAACGTATCTCGGACTTTAGAAGTGTAGGGACTGTATGTGCAGTTTCGTTAACTCATTTTACTGTGCTTATGGCTCAAGGACTGGGAAACTGTGCATCCATTAGACAACGTCAACAGACATTATTATGTGGAACACATGGCGAGGCGGGTATTTTTTTATCCAGTTACAATATAAATCTACCCGTTGATGTTAGATCATATGCATAATACATAAAGCGTTTGTTGTCCAGATGGAATGCAGCCATGCATCACCCATGAATGTACTTTCCCGATTTGCAGTGGGTGGGTGAGTGAGTGAGTGAGTGAGTGAGTGAGTGAGTGAGTGAGTGAGTGAGTGGGTGGGTGGGTGGGTGGGTGGGTGGGTGGGTGGGTGGGTGAGTGAGTGGGTGGGTGGGTGGGTGGGTGAGTGAGTGAGTGAGTGAGTGAGTGAGTGAGTGAGTGAGTGAGTGAGTGAGTGAGTTATAATTTTACATCGCATCGGCAATATTGCAGCCATATCGCGATGAGAACAAATTGATTATATTAAAATTTCTGTCGGCAAAGGACAGTAAAACAGTAAGGTAATTATCACAGTGGAGACATAAAACTTACCTGAGCAATAGTAAAACAAAGACGTTTTCAATACAGTTATTAGAAAGTAAAACCTGGCTAGAGTGCACTGGCGACTAAAGCTAGACCACCTAACTGGGGATCATGGGGACTTACAGTGCTTTTGCTTCCTGCATGATTCCCAGCAGGATTTATGCCATCACTTTGGTCACGAGTGGTTGTATGAAATATTAACCAATATTAAAAAACAAAACACAATAAAGGAATTAAAACACTAGTTGATATTAATTACTTCAATATATATGGACTCACGTGCCACTGTCAGGGGACAATAATTTTACACTGCTTTAACCCCCACAGTGGCACTGCCTACATACATCTCAGTTGACAAAAATATCCAACTATTCTAAAACAATTCAAAATTTATCAAATAATAGTATTTCTTTTAAAAAACCGAGAATTAAATGAGCACTGATATTATAAAAAAGATCCGTTAAAGATGTTGAATGATAATATTTATCCCTTGTGAGAGAAAAATCAACACAGTCAAGCAAAACATGCTTGACTGTGATTCTCTCATCACAAGGGACACAGAACGGGGGATCCTCACCTTTTAAAAGATACTCGTGGGTATATCGACTGTGTCCAATACGACATCGTTGCAAAACAACTTCATCATGTCTTGAAGGGCAACCCAAGTATGTATACCCTATTGATGGTTTTATAACATTAAGTTTGTTGATACCCACTTGGGTGTTCCACTTCTTTTGCATCAGATCATTGATGTAGCATCTAATTACTGGCTTGTAATCACTGTATGGTAAAAGTAGTGGCGTTACTGATTTGGAGAGGGCTGCCTTTGCAGCAGTATCAGCCATAGTGTTACCAGCGATGCCAACATGACTGGGCAACCAGCAAAAGACGATTTCGTATTGGGCAGTGGCGAGAACATTATTCAATTCTAAAATGTCAAGTATTAACGGATGATTTGAAGAACAATTATGTATTGCTTGAAGGCATGACAAGGAATCAGAAAAGATGATGAACTGTTGAGATGATTGGTTTTGAATGAAGGCCAAAGCTATAAGAATAGCATTGGCCTCAGCTGTAAAAATAGAGCTATTATCTGGGATTCTAGAAGACACCCTTTTAGATCCAATGACAGTAGCACTTGAAACCTTGCCACCATCCCTGGAGCCATCAGTAAAAATAGAGCGATGGGTATCATATTTTGACCGCAACTGGGCATATTCTTGTTGATAAATCAACTGGTTTGTATCAGCTTTTTTAAGGGTAGTTAGTGTCAGGTCTACCTCTGGTTTGACTAGTTGCCAAGGAGGTGTAGACAGTAACCGGTATGGTGAGATAGTAGAAAGATCAATAGTAGCTGCGGTAATATGTGGCTTAATTCTGAACCCTAGAGGGGGAACAAGCTTTGGTTTTGATTGAAATAGATTTTCATACATGGGATTAAACACACAGTCGTATGCTGGATTCGACGGATTTGAGTATAATTTAGTCACATATTGCAATGAAAGTTTAATTCGACGTTGTTTAAGAGATGGCTCGTCTGCCTCTACATATAAACTGTCAACTGGTGAAGTTCTAAAGGCACCAAGACATAGCCTCAGGCCTTGATGATGTACTGAATCCAATAATTTTAAGTTGCTTTTACAGGCACCACCATAAATGATGGAGCCATAATCGAGTTTGGAACGGATGAGAGAACGATAGAAATGAAGGAGAGTTGTCCGATCCCCTCCCCATTTTGAATGAGAAACAACTTTCAACAAGTCAATTGCCTTCAGACATTTAGTCTTCAGATATCTTATATGTGGTAAAAATGTTAGATGATTATCAAATATAATACCCAAGAGTGAGTGAGTGAGTTAAAGTTTAACGTCACATCGGCAATATTTCAGCCATATCGTGACGAAACAAAAGTTGACATGAACAATATATTTTAAACTGAATACAATTCTGCCGACGAAGGGCAGTATAATAACTAGAATATCACAGATTCACATAAAACTAGTCAGAGAGCATGTAAAAAATTATTAACATTTTACAACACAACATAAAAACAGGCTGTAGATCACCAACAACTGAAGGTAGATCACCACGCCAGGGTCCATGGGGACTTACAGTACTTTAGCTACCTGCATGGACCCCAGCAGGATTTACACCATCCCTTCAGTGGTTGGCGATTATTGCCAATTTAGCCGAATTAAAACAACATATATTCTGCAATTAAAAACATGGTAGTAATAAATACACTATGAATGACGTGGACTGACGTACCATCTCCGGGGGACAATCATTTTACACTACTTCAACCCCGTTCGAGGTACAGCCACTGACAATCTTAGTTATCCAATTTATTCGACCAGTAGTAAAAGATCATTTATTAATTACAAAACACGTATATCAAAATTTATGTATAAGTTCTATTTCTTTTAAAAAGCTAATTATTAAATGAGACGAAACATTATTAAAAAGATCCATTATTGATGTTGCACTGAAATATTTATCCCTTGTGATGGAAAAATCAATACAGTCAAGCAGGACATGCCTGACCGTGATTCTTTCATCACAAGGGATACAAAACGGAGGATCCTCACCTTTCAATAAATATTCATGCGTGTATCTCGAATGGCCAATACGACATCGTCGCATAATGACCTCTTCAAATCTGGACTGACAGCCCAAGTAGGTGTAACCAATATTTGGTTTAATTTGATGTAATTTATTGATACCTACTTGGGTGTCCCACTTCTTTTGCATCAGATCACGGATGTAAGATCTAATTATAGGTTTATAATCACTGTATGGTAAAAGAAGTGGTGTCACAGATTTGTTGAGTGCTGCTTTTGCAGCAGCATCAGCCATAGTGTTACCAGTAATACCAACATGGCTTGGTAACCAACAAAAGACGATGTCACATTGGCCAGTAGCAAGATCATTAAATAACTCAAGAATTTCAATTAAAAATGGATGTTTACAGGACATATTTTTAATAGCCTGAAGACACGAAAGTGAATCTGAAAAAATAATGAATTCTTTGTGTTTGGATTTGTTCTTGATATACTGAAGTGCTGTTAAAATTGCATGTGCTTCTGCTGTGAATATGGAACTATTATCAGGCAAGCGCGAAGATACTGTTCTGGATCCAATGATGGTGGCACTAGCAACTGCGCCACCATCCTTGGATCCATCTGTAAATATAGATTTATAAGTGTCATAAGTGTTTCGTAATTGATTATATTCTTGTTTATAAATAAGTGGATTGGTATCAGATTTTTTTTGTCTAGTTAATGTGAGGTCTACAGTTGGTCTTACCATCTGCCAAGGAGGCGATGAAAAAAGATTTGTGGGAGCTATATCCTGAAAGGTAATGTTCGCAGCAGAAACGACCTGTATAAGTGTAAGAGGGATGTCTGATCCCCTCCCCACTTGGAATTTGATACAACTTTCAATAAATCAAGCGCCTTCAGGCATTTAGCTTTAAGTGATTTAATGTGTGGTAAGAAAGTTAAATGGCTATCAAAGATGAGTCCCAAGAACTTGGCCTCCTTTACAACTTTGATAGAGGTGCCATTCAAAAATAATTCAGGGTCTTTATGCGGCTTATATTTTCTGCAGAAGTGTATACAGTTAGTTTTAGAATTAGAAAATTTAAAC